TAAAATACAGTGTAATTTTTATGTAAAATTAAAAAATAGGTATCTAAAAAGCAATATATATAATATTAACCTTATATTTCTCTTACAAGTAGTTATACCTATATATAATCTGATTTTAAGATTAAAGGCCAGGATATAATATAGACATTGTGGTATGAGCGTACAAAAAAACGCATTTTGTATGGGTATTCTAGTGATCGGAGCAACCGGGTGATCGAAACAGCCGGGAAATACGTTATAATCAGTATAGGCCTATTCTACATTTACCATACAACTTGCCTGGGCGCTTGTGTAAGCAGGGACACTAGCACCCCCAACCAACCAACCAGCCAATCAGGGACAACCAATCAGCGCCTCATGGAAGGATACCACTACCCGCCGGGAGGGGGTACGACTGGACTATGGCACAATCCACCTGTATTTAGACTTTAGCTACTAAGTCCTATTGCTTAGGTGATAATAATAATAATACCTAGGAGCTAGCCTACCTAAATAATATTAGTGTTACACGCTGGGCTGACCTAAGTCACAGATACTCAACTTTGGTGGTTAGGAAGGTTCACAGATCCAGACCAGGATCTCACACAGTGATCAACTCCAAGTAGTAACTGATAGATAAGTAATTGAGGTCTTTGAGTAATAATGAAACACAAGTGACTAGGTCAGGGCAACTCCTACTAGAGCTATACCATAAGGTATACCAATAGTAGTAAGATGTCAGACTACTGACCCTCCAAGTAAGTATCTTAGTAACTGATTATAATATTGAGCACAAAGTAAGATGACTAGGTACATGAGCAGAAATAATGCCCTTTTATGTTCCTTCCTGGTCATACTATTCTGTATACCTTTCCATATACCATCTTTGTCTCTCCCTTGGTCTCCCTGCTGGTATTTATATACCATCTAGTATACCATTCTTTCTCGGCTTATGGTCCTTCCCATGGTATATGCACATGTCTTAGTCACATGATCTTTAGATCCTTGTTTCTGTCTTGCGGGGTATTGTTTCATCCTGCATCGCTGTGTTGGACAGCGTCCCATTTTGTTGGTCTATAATAATTAGTAGGTATAGCTACTAGTCTCTAATAGTTTACTACTAAAATCTTATTAGTTAAGGCCTACTAATTAGATACATCTATCTTTATATTAACCCTATATATTACAATACTAAACCTCTGGATCTTAAGGGCAGCCTTTTACCTAAAGGCCTTAACTTATATACTTAACTTAATAAGCTATTCTATATCCTTAAGCAAATCTATAGTTAGGATTATATTACTATTATCTAAGATTTATCTAGCTAAGACCTTCTAGAAGGATATTATTAGGTCCTTAGATTCTTTGATTACTAATAATAGATTAATAATACGTAAGTTAGTCTTCTTTATATAAAGTTTAAGGTCTTTTATAAAGGGTTAGGATAAGAACTTTTTATTATTATATATTACTTATAAGAATAAGAGGCTAAGCTTAAAAATATATTAAAAAATATTTATCTCTAATTATAAGAACTTATAATATTCTATAAGCCTTTAATACCTTATAAAGTAATAGATATAATAAGCTAACCTCTTAAACTAGTTTAATTTTATTATTATTTACTAGTTAGGCTTATTTTTAAAATACTAAAATAGATACCTTATTATAAATAAGACCTATTTACTAATATTATAGATAACTATATCTAATACTATAAAAAGTAGCTAATTAGGCTTATATTATTGAAGAAAAGGGAATTATATATTTATTTATATAGCCTATATTTTTATATTATAGTTTTTTTAAAAAGGCTAAGAGAGTTAGAGAAAACTTTTATAAAGATCTTTAAGAATTTATATAAAAAAAGAAAAAGGTCTTATAAAAGCTTTTTTGAGACTACATAAAGACTTATTATTACTTAAAGATTAATAAAATTAAGAAGCTAATAATATTTTATAAAAACTAAAGAAGGCTATTATATTTAAAAAACATCTTTTATATTTTAAGAGTTAAAGTCTCTCTATTAGAATATAAAATTAATAATAGCTAATTATTATATTATAAAAAACTCTTAAAACTATTATTTATCCCTAATTATAAATAATAAATATTAATTTTATTAGAAAATTATTAAATTAAGGTATATATATTAATTATAATTATTATTAACTAGCTTAATAAGGATATTATTAAACTAATAATATTAAACTATAGGTTATAATTTATAATATTCTATTATATTTTTTAATAAAATAATCAGGTATAGCTATATTTAATAATAATATTAGTATTAAATAATTATAACATTACCTTAATAAAGATAAGCTTTTTTTAATTATAAATATCGTTTAAAGCTATTAAACTTTTTTAAAGAACCTTTAAAATTATTAACCCTTAAAGCCTTATTTAATAAAGGTTATAATATAAAACTATAATATTTTAGACCTTATTAAAGCTTTAATAATAATTATATAATAAGCTTAAAAAGACATAATAAATTATTTTTATAATATTATATTATAATATTATATTAATAATAGTCTAGCTCTCTTTTTAAAATACATATATAAATTTACTAAAAGTCTAAAAAACTTAATATAAAGAATACTAAATATATTAGTATTAAGATTAGATCTTATATTTATTATCTTAATACTCTATTAGGAATCTATAATATCTTCTATACCTTATTTTTATGGCTTATAGCTTTAAACTTATTACTTAATTAATATTATATAAATTATTAACTATTAAATAGATTAACGTAATCAACCACCGAGCGACGAATACCACCGAGCGACGAATTTTCGCCGCACCCACTATAATTTTGAAGCTTTTCAACCACCAATACAATTAAATTAGACTATCTAGTAGTTGAATATATAGCTATTTATTAGGACAATTCCTTATGGTATGTCCAATAGTCCCACAGCCACTGCAGCGTTGTGGAGCTCGCCGTTGAGGCATAGGTGTAGGCTCATCAAGCTTCTCATTAAGCTGCGTATCAAGCTGCTGAATGCGATTTTGGCCTTCTTGTACAGATAAAAGGGTATCATTACCTAGAATAGCACGCCTTCTT